AGCATTTGGGACTTGACACCAGGTTTCTCTTTGGGCAGGTTGGGGGGGGGGGGAGTGGATAGGTTCTAAGCTCTGCATTGTTTATGCATTACAATGTCTTGCTTGTTTTGGGAGCCACCAAGAGTCTATTTATCATTGTGTTAGGATCCAAATTGATAGATATAGATTAGATATAGATATATTGATATATAGAGACAGACAGGCAGACAGACAGACAGACAGACAGACATAGAGAGATAGAGAGATAGAGAGATAGAGAGATAGAGAGATAGAATATCTCACTAAGGGTCCTACCACTGACCAGCTCCTTGCCCTGATGCTGCACCCCATTCTGACCTGGAGGGAGAGTGCCAGTCTGAAAGCAAACAGAAATTGCAACATTTTCTCTTCTATACTTTCTCTTGGGGACTGCTCCTAGACTGTAGAAGGAAAGACAGAATCTCTGGGCTTCTTGTTGGAAAGCAGACCAACATTTCTGTACTAATATTCTTACTGTTTCCCTTCTTTATGAATTATTTTTAGGAATCCTTGAGTCTTAATGAAACATCGCAAACCTAGGATCTCTTTCATTATAAATAATTCCAGGGCTATTTGGTTGAAAGTCATTTTCACTATAGCAGAGTAATCTTTACTGAAATCAGAACTGATAAAGGTATCAAGTGCCTGTAGGCAGAAGTTGTGTTCCTACAGTACAGTTAACTGCTGTGTAACTTACTTTATTTGCCTCTCCTGTAGCTAAGAGCTGCCTTGGCCTATTGTAGAAGGCTTGGTTAGTTTTAACTTTTGCTATTTACTATTGATGGAGTTGTGTTTGAACAAAGCTTGTTTGGCTAGTTTTTGCTTCAATGTTTTGCTTCCAAGCTTTGTTTGGCTAGTTTTGCTTCAACGTGTTATACAAACACAGAAAATAAGTTAATTCAGTAATCTGGATAAGTGTGTCACATGTAGGCAGCCAGAGAGAGAGGGAAATTTCCCTCTATGCTTTTTCATAGCTTTTTTTCTTTACAAATATTCAGTACAATGGGAAGGATTACATTTAGATAAAAAAAGGACAGAACACTCTGGGAGACTTTTTGTTCTTGTTTTGATCCAAATATCTACCCTGCTAGCCCCTTGGGTTTCCTCCCCTGGAGAAACCCAGTCCTGGAAGCTAGCTGGGAGGCAGAAAAGTGGCATTTGATATTAGTTTCCCACACTTGAGAATGGATGTCAGAGAGGAAATTCAACCAATCTTACAAATGCTGGAACGTTGTTGCAAGGGTCCAGGACTGCAAACCCAATAAGTTACTTAATTAAAGTATTAGCACAGCTCTTTCAGAATGTGTTATTTTCCACATTTGTTTGCAATAGTAAACCAGGCAATAGATTAAGGCAAGTCTACTAAAAACAGGAAGTAACTTCAACTCAATCGAACCTTAGCAGGCTTAAAAGAGAATCCAAGCATTTCATCAAGTAGCTTAAGTGGTTTGATGGAACAAAAGGAGGGTTCTCTGCTAAAATAAAATAAAACGAAACAAAGTAAAATAAAATAAAATGCCAGTGACAAAGCTAGTGTGCTTCCTGGGTTGCAGAGCATCTCAGGAGCTATACTCATGCGATTCTGCTGCTGGTGAAAACTAGCCTTGAATTCATAAAAGACCATGCACTTAGTAGAACCCAATAGGAAACCAGATTCATAAAAATGAAGGGATTACAAATCCATACCTCTGATTTCTGAAATAATGACAGTGCTACAGCCTTCAATATACTGGTTTGAATTGCTGATTGAAATGCAAAACATATGTATATGTGTATATATGAAAGAAGGGATCTGGGGACCCTGAATGCTGTCTCTAGTTCAGGGAAGTAGGTAAGGGGGTGAAAAAAGTCAACATGGCAAAGGGGTGGGGCTTTCATTGCATGGTTGTGGCTGCTGTGTTGATTTTTTTTTCACCCCCTTCCCTTCAAACATCCCTGCACTACTTCAAATGTTAACTGGTGGCCTTTCACAATCACTTTGGCTTACCTGTTGATGCTGTTTTTTTGTGCTAACATCTGCCAGTCTTTGCCTTTGGCGCTGGGAGTGTCAAAAGTTGCACATATTCTCTGTCTGATAGAGTAGGGTATCTTAAAGGCTTGTGGGCCCATCTGAACGGGAAAGCTGTTGTCATCGTGTGAAAAAAAAGTGATTGTTTCCCTTTCATTCTGCATGGAAAAAAATAATAATGGGTTCAAGCAGGCTCTGCTCTCTCCCAAAACCAATATCTTTAATTCACCAGAATCCATTCTGTACCCAAACTGCTGTTTGCCTGAAGCAGGAGTGGGCATTTGGGGCCCTTGAGAGGTTGATCGATACCAGGTGATCTATTTACGATTCTGCAGATATTCAATTTGATTCCCAGGTGATCCAACACAATCATCCTTTCAGACTGAATCACAGCATTGATTTGCTGGCCAGGCCCACTCCCCCTCACTCAAATGATCACCTCGAATCAAATCAACTTGTTGAATCAATCTGGCAAGTGGAATCAGATCAAGAATGATCCTGACATCTACCAGCTAGCACAGCCAGTTGTGAGGGAAGCTGAAAAGGACAGTTTAGCAACTTCTGAAGGTCTTCTGGTCACTCACTCCTGGTTATAAAGAAACATCATCTCATTAAGCAATGAACATAGAGCAACATCTTATCTCTGAAGATTGTTGAGGGGAAATGTGACATTTATTGCACTGGACAGAGCCTTGTGGGTTACCTTGCATGGCTGGGTGCTAAGAAGTAGATTATCAAGCAAACCAGATGCAGACACCAATTTCCCAGAATGTGTCTTGGAAAATGAAAACGGTCCACCCCTTCTTTTCACTGTGCGCAGAAGAGTGCAATTGGTTGACTTATCTTATTTTTGAAGGAAAACAAATACAAGCAACCAAAATTGATCCTACTTGTTTTTCCTAGGTGGGTGGCCCCAGGCCTGCACTCTTGGTTGCATAGATGGATGAAAAAAACACAAAGAAAACTGTGGCATGTGTTCAATTCTGCCTATCTCAGTTGCTTTAGCCTGCTAGATTATATCCATTTTCAGTTGTTTTAAAATCGCTGATAAAATGTTATTGTTTCAAACATCCAGATGTAGGCTAATTTGGAAATCGCTAGAGCAAAGGGGAGGGTGGAGATATTTTCAACAAGCAAATGTGAATTATTTTGCCTTCAGCTCTTTCCTCACCTAATATTACTGCTCTATTTCACTGATAATAGCCCTGGACCAGCATTATAGTACTGATTTAAACGAACACATGGGAATATGTTGAGACCTCTGTGTCTCTGATGATAGCTGGCATCTGATATACAGTCGCTTGGTTTTTCCTATTTACTACCAACCCATCCCACTAGTTCTGCTTCCCAGTTAATGGCTAACCCCAGCCTCCTGCGTGAGACTTATTCCTGATGGCAAACCAGGATACAAGCCTAAGATCAAGTAGCAGCAATGAGGAACACCCATGAGCCGTGGATGATTAGAGCAGACAACAGCTAGGTTCACACATTGCCCTAAGGTATAATCAG